GGCCTGAAGACACTGGAGGACAGGAGGGTTAGGGGAGACATGTTAATGACATACAAAATACTGAGTGGAACAGACAAGGTGGACAGAGACTGAATGTTCCAGAAAGGGGACACAGAAACAAGGGGTCACAATTGGAAGTTGAAGACTCAGATGAGTCAAAGGGATGTTAGGAAATATTTCTTCAGTCATAGAGTAGTCAGGAAGTGGAACAGTCTAGCAAGTGACGTAGTGGAGGCAGGAACCATACATAGCTTTAAGACGAGGTATGATAAAGCTCATGGAGCAGGGAGAGAGAGGACCTAGTAGCGTTCAGTGAAGAGGCGGTGTCAGGAGCCGAGTATCGACCCCCTGCAACCACAATTAAGTGAGTACACACACACGACATATATATATATATATATATATATATATATATATATATATATATATATATATATATATATATATATAAAATTCAGAATCCCCGTGTGCTACAAGACCAGCCTTCTCCACCTCGCTGTACGCCAACACGGATTGTCCACAAATTTGTTATGTAAAATACCAGCTTTAAATATTTAAAACACTTTTATTATAATTAGTTTTATAACTAAGGTAAGCGTTAAACCTGTAAGGGTCATACAGCGCTGCTGGAGCTGATCAGGAGTGACATCCGTAAGTTATCGCGAAATATTCCAGTTTCTTTAATAAAAAAATGGTAAATCGACATCTACAAAGGCCAAAACCAGTTCGACCCTTCCACCATGATGCAATAATTTTGATAGTTTAAAACCAATCAGAAGAAATTAATATCTCAAACTGCACCATCACTAAGTTTGAAGTGGCTTGAAAGTTACGTTGTGGAGTTATGGTGGTGACGGCTGGACGCCACATGGACTAGGACGCCACACGGACTAGGACGCCACATATTTCTGGAAAATCGCTATTTCAATTTTCATATTTTTTTTTTTTCAATAAGAAAAAGCAAAATGGCACATAACCCAAAAATCGAATCAAACCGTTTTCTCCGTAATATAAATATTGGTATCATTACAGTATTTTTATTTCTAGTATTTTAAGAGGCATTTAAGTTCCCCCGTCTTCTAATGTGTTCAGTTGCAATATAATATACCTGTCCATAATTATTATCACATTTACTTTAAGGACAAATATCCTCAAAGATTTGTTAAGTTATACCAGGAATTAAAGAAGATCCTGGACTTACCTTACTAAACAAACTAAATGTGGTAATAATTATGGGCAAGTTAGATTATAGTGGAAAAATGAACGTTATTAGAAGACGGGGGACTTGCGTGCCTCTTAAGTGAGCAACTTACCCCTTGCTGTCATCGTATTCCATTAGGGAAAAAAATGTAAGAAAAGAAAGCCTCCATGATTTGCCACAAGACGGTGGTTCAGCCAATATGTTGAGCTGGGACGCCCGTATCAGGTTATCAGTGAATTATGATAAGTCTGAATTCCTGAGCTACTGCTGGGTTGACAGCTTGATACTGGCCAAGAACTCTTTACACAAGAAATTAATGATCTTCTCTTGTATCTGAGTGCTTTTCATTCCCCCAGGCGCTGTAGGATCCCTACTGGTTTAACGCTTCCCCACTAGTATAATAATCAAGAAGTCATTTATTTTACTCTGGTTGTACACTATCTGGATTAGGTTAAGAATAAATAACAATTTGACCAATTATAGTATACGTTATTACATTATTACGTAATACATACTATGGCTTTCAAGTTAATATATCTTTTATGTATAATGAATTTATTATTATTATTATTATTATTATTATTATTATTATTATTATTATTATTATTAACAACTGCGAACAAAAAACGGCAAGTCACAGCGACTGAGGAAGAATGAGGCCACTTGAGCCACGTAATTCCCCAGTCTTCTAGTAACTTGTTCATTTTTCCAGTATAATCTACCTTGTCCATAATTACTATCACATTTACTTCGTTTCGTAAGGTGAAGTCCAGGATCTTTACTTAATTCATGGTATAACTTAACAAATAATTGAGGACAATTGTGTTGTAGAAGTCTGACTTCACCTTACGAAACAAAACAAATGCGATAGTAATTACGGACAAGGTAGATTATAGTGGAAAAATGAACATGTTATCAGAAGCATCGTAGCCTTCACATATTAGTACCATAGTCGCTTTACCGAGGGTTTCGAGTCACAGTGAAAAAGATTATGATTAGTGATGGCGAAACGATAAACCAGTAGTTTCATACAGTGTCTGGGAGGTAATTAAGTTTGAGTTTAGGAAGGGGAGGGTAACATCAGTTCAAGGGAGGTTCCGTGATGCTGGTGAAGGGCTCTTGATCAAGGGAATTGGATTTGTGCTCCAGTACCCTGAATTGAGCCTGAATGCCTTCCATCCCCCCACAGACGCTGTATAATCCCTGCTGGTTTAGTGCTCCCCCATGATATAAATAATCCAGTTCAGGAGCCCATCACCGGCCTGAAGACACCTCCATCCCTGAAGGGTTGGTTAGGAGAGTAAGGTCGAGTGGTAATTAAAAGACTTAGAGAAGGAACTTTACATCATGAGATATTTCGCTAGAAGCGAGGCTTTATCAGTTAGTTGCCATACTCGAAATTGATTATGTTCCATTGTGAGTGAAATGTAGTAAAATCAAGATTTTTCGTGTTTAGTGTCTTTGGATTATCTCCTGTTTATCCAAAATACTCGTCTGGCAGTGAGGTGGCATAAGAAAATACGTGTAACGTTGGATTCTGTAGATCCCTGTTGGTGGGAGAATGAGGTGCGGCAACAGGTCCTGGGAGCCATAATTGGGTCGAGTCATGTAACCACACGCTCGACCAGGCTCTACTGTCTCTACGCTCTTATGTACATGAAAATCGGGGATTCAGGGGGAGGGAAAGTGTGCCTTGATGTTGATGAAGAGTCCTTGATTCAATGAATTGGAGTTGCGTTCCCTTTCGAATCAAATCTGATCACTTCCTATTTCCCAGGCGCTGTTTAATATCTACGAATCTAGCGTAAAGGGGTCATACATCATCACATCATGTCTTCCCTGAGGTCAGGAAGAGGATTGCAGTCAGCCAGGGGGGGGGGGGGGAACTGCCACCCTGTTATATGGCAAACAAAACTGTTCTAGAACGTTTTGCGATCTGGGAGGATTGTTAATCTTTCTGTCTTATGAGGTTCCTGAAGGCTACTCTTAGATTTACCAGACGAGCATTGGTTACAGAGGTTGTCTGGTTGATGCGAGCATCTGGCGATGTTAGTATCATGGTCGCCCTTAGGTATTTCTCTGAGTGAGGTCTGCAACCTCTGTTTCTCGAGTATATACTCCGTGTCCAGTCTTCTGACCCCCTCCTCTATTTTCATAACCTTTCATTTGTTGGAGCTGAATTCCATCCTCTATTTATCCGACTAATCTTGCAGTGAATGAGTGAGAGAGAGAGAGAGAGAGAGAGAGAGAGAGAGAGAGAGAGAGAGAGAGAGAGAGAGAGAGAGAGAGAGAGATAGATAGATAGATAGATAGATAGATAGGAGCAGGAAAGTTGGAACAAACGAAAGAACAAAAGTAAAACGGGCGCCCACGAACGAACATTGCTTGTTAGCTATCACATTTGCCTTATTGCATCGTGAGAAACATCCTGGTAGCAGTGTTGCATTTCCTTACAAATATTTGTTAGTTTGCCGTGTGTAAATTGAGTCTCGTGGATGGCCCTGTGAACTATTAACCATCTTTAATACTATACTAGTATTAAAGGTGGTTAATAGTTCACCGGTATGGGCTCGGCTCACATCCAAAGGGTATTTGGTACTGGTCTGGCGTGGGTCGATATGTTATGTTTGAGCAGATCTTATTCTTGCTGCACATGTTCACCTAGGTGTTAGTGAACCGTTGTGAGTGACATCCTGGGGTGTGGTAGTATACATTAAATAAAGCTGGACTTTGAAATGAGCTGAGGTAAGGTAACACTAACAGCATGGTTGACCAGGCAACACCAGACGAGCCTGACCCATGGCCGGGCTCCGGGGGTAGAAAAACTCTGAAATTTATCAGAGGTATAACAAGGGTAAAGGTAAGCCCATAGCCTGTAAATTGAACTATAAAAATAAGCCAGTTCCTTTATACCTCTTCCATTCCTTCAATTCGTGTACTCGGCTAACGAAAAAAGTATCAGGGATGATCAGGTTAAATTATATATTAATTTTACCCTCGTTAAATTTTGCTATAAGCAAAGCGTTACTGTCTAGGCTTTGTCAGGCTGCATTAATATTTTTTAACTTGTTGAAATTTATTAAAATAAATTTTGTCTGACGTAAGCAGCAGTGAGGTAATCTCTTGCACTCTGAGTGAATCAGAAATAAGAGGCTCCTGCTGCCCTGCTGGCCCACATCTTTTAACTTGTGTCAAAAGTTGTTTGTTTTTTAATACCAGATTTTTTTTGTAACTTGTATATATTTTAGCCTATATTGATTTTGGGGGTTGAAGTGTAGATTTTAATGATAATATAACTTGTTCGGTTTTATTCAATAAAATTATTTGGGTTGGTGCTAAGCCCGAGTCGTACACTTGGCGGAGAAGACTGAGCCGTGTGCCAGGATGATAGAAAAAGTCTGACAACCTCGGTATCACTACTGGTTTGGTTTTGGTCGACTGTTGCGTTTTACATACTTCATTTTACAGGCTATGAGCTTCATTTTACAGGCTATGAGCTTCATTTTACAGGCTATGAGCTTCATTTTATAGGCTATGAGCTTAGCTGAGGCAGAGCAACCAGTTGATAGAGTGCTAAACCTATGTGGGCTATTCACCTTTAAAAGTGACGGAGGATAGAGCTTCCATCACTCCTTGTGATGTGTGACCATCAGTGGTTTAGCGTTTTATAGAAAACTAGCAGGCAGGCTTTGAAAGTAGCTCATTTTAAAACCTTCCCTTATAGTTCACCTTCCTTCCCTCCAGGATGTTATCAGCAACAGTCGACTAGCAACCAGGTACCTATTTTACTCAAGTGTAAATAGGGACAAGTGTAATGAGACTTTCCCATGCGTTTCGCCAACCTGTGAATCCAACTCAAGACCTTTCGGTTGTAAGGTAAACGCTCCACAACTATGCTCCTTACTCGTGTTACTGAATGAAATTGGTGTTTGTAGAGGTCAAGGAACACCCTGAGTACTGAGACGAAACATTTTGAAAATTAATCTTTCTGAGCACTTTAAATTAGTTCCTCCGGAAATGTGCTCTGTTATTTATTTACTCTGGTATTGACTTATCATTCACGTTAAGTGTTTTGCAATAATTTCCAGCAATAAATTAACACTGATAAATGAAAGAAATTCCGTAGATGTGCAAGAGAACGGAATCAAAGAGTAAAGAAATTTGAATTATTAATGTGCATTGTAAACTCAGCTACCTTCGTTGATAGATAAGAAACGTTAAAACAACTGCTGTAAACTTCACAAGAGGCAGTAAGAAAACCGATGAGATTTTTTTTTTAACTAGTGAGAGGGAAACAATATACCTTTTGCTAGTTTCGAGGGTGTTGCTGCATCGCATCCCATCTGGGGTCCCAGATTATTCAACATCTTACCAGAAGATATCACAAATATGGCTGGAACAATTATAGAAGCTTCCAAGAGGAAACTGGACAAGTATCTTCACCAGGTGCCAGATCAACCAGGCTGTGATGGATATGTGGGGCAGCGGGCCTCCAGCAGCAACAGCCTGGTTGACCAGGCAAGTACCAGACAAGCCTGGCCCATGGCCGGGTACAGAGAGTAGATAAACTCTCGAAACTCTTCAAAGATATATCAAAAGTATGGCCTGTAGGCCAAACTGAGTGATACTAGCAGATAAGCAGAGTTAACTGCACTCTTCTGACCACTAATATCACATCATAATAAGCAGTATGCATCCCCTAAAATATGTAAGAATTGCTTTCAGTAACTTCAGTAAAGCACATTGCAGACATACGCTACATAACCATTATTAACATCATATCCACGAGGATGCGCTGAATCCTGAGGAATGGGAGGTAATTAAATCCTGGGAAGAGAAAGGTTGATCCATTTCCTTGCATCATGAGCCCTTCGACATCAGGGTGTTCCTATTGAGGGGTCATAATCTATGAGCTGACTAGGGCGTTATTTGAAGTTTACTAATTAATGTATTAAGTGTAAGCTTACTCGTAGCACTAGGACGGCAACCTGTAACCATAATAAATATTGTTAGTTTTGTAATGCATTGCAATTCGTTAAATTCTGAACGACCTACGCTGCTTGACATTCACAATTACTCACATTACCATATAGAGTTTATGTAGGCTTACGTTACTTTAACGTTAATTAACCTACTTTAGTTGAATGCTAATGAAACTATTTGAGCAGCAATAGGATAAACACATAGACCCTAGACTCCCCGATTCGTTGGAAAACAAATTCTCGTTTTGTTGTTACATTCATGGGAAAGGGTTAAACCGGTTTCACGAGGGGAATTGGGAGAGTCGGATTGGATCTAGGGAAAGGGAGGATGGCTTTGGCTCAACATCTCTTCACCGGTATCAAGGCACATCCCCTGACAACACTCGTGTGTACGATGTACTAGCTGAGGCAGCAGGATGGAGGGTTTATGTGGAAATACTGGATAACAGTGTGTACTCACATGTGCTTGCTGGGGTCGTGTCATAACTTCGCTGTGTGTTTATACGTATGAATATGTGTGTGTTACCTGTCATTACGACGGTGTCATCCCGGAGAGTATTCAGCTCACCCACTCGTTCATTGTAGACCAGTTATTTGACATTTTCTTCAAGTGTAAATGTTGGTGATGAGGAGAGAATGATCTAAGGCGAGAGACTGTTAGTTCCAATCTCCCACAGTCAGTCGTACAAGTTCTTCCTATTATTTTGGCCCCACCAGATGGGAAGACTGTCAGTTACTTGGTGGGTATTATTATCATGCCATTCAATCTGTAGCAGGTAGTGTGTGGTACCGTGCTCAGTGTGTGTGTGTGTGTGGGGGGGAGAATATCAGAGGCACAATCAGTTACTCCATGATGATTACGCCTGAGATGGTGACCCATCATAGTGCGTACTCAAGGTTGGAAATGATAGGCGTGTGCGTAGTGATTGTAGTCTCTTGAGCGAGATATACACCCAGTGGTCTGCCAGTGGCTTTTTATACCTTTTACCGATTGTGGGCTGTTATCTTACCTCAGCGCATTTACAGACAGAGCTGTTATTTAACCTCGGTTCATTTACAGAGTAAGAGTTGGCATCCACCCTCATTTATTTACATACATGGAGTTTACCTGGAGTCACTTCCGAAGGTCACCGCCCCCGAGACCCGGTCCCAAACCAAGCCTCCTGGTTGCTAACCGGCTCTATTAAGCTGTTAGTGCCCGCCACCCGCAGTCCATCTTATGTGCCACAGCCCGGCTGATTGGGAACTGTTCTGAAGAATCCGTCGAGTTCCTTCTTGAAGACAACTAGGAGTATGTTGGTGATTCCCTTATGCATGAGGGGAGGGTGTTGAAGAGTCGTGGTACATTAAAGAGGGCCGTTAGTACACATCAATATTTCAGCCTAGAGAGAATGAGTGATTTAAGTAATATCATCATTGGCTTGGCATATCTTGTTTTGAAAGTTCCAGTTATCTAACCAATCATTTTACTTGCATTTACGATAATAACATTGCTGTGCTTCCTGATCATGAGATTGTCTAACATTACCACTCCCAAGTCTCTCACATTTGACGTACGTTCTGTTGAGTTTGAGTTTTTCTTGTACTACGATCTTGTTTTTATTTCCTCTACTCATCCGTGACGCAATAGATTTTTTTACCCATACATACTAGGAGCTGTTATCCTGCCTCTGCGTATTTAATAATAGCTGTTACTCCACATCAACGCATTTCAAGGTCCAGCTCTATGTATGGTATATTACCCCTCCTCTCCTCCGTAGGACGCCACTCACAACACTACTAACACTCAGATACCTACATATTTATAGCTACGTGAACATGGGCAGCAGAAAGGGCCGGATTAGGGATTTAAGAACATAAGAAGAGCATAAGAGAGAAGGAACACTGCAGTAGACCTACTGCCCCATGCGAGGCAGGTCCAGTTCTCCCACCGGCTTAAGCTTAGTCAAGTCAGTCACATTCACTTAAGGGAGGAGCACAGCATCTAACCTAGCAGCAGAAGCTAGATTTTGGGCACCCTAGAGCAAGCAACTTGTGGGGGAGGGACACTAAATCTTCATTGTCGAATTACATTCTAGTGTTATAACATGAGTGACCTTTCTGGGATCCCAGTGGAAACAAATTACATTGTTTGACTTTGGTAGATTATCCTGGATTAAATCTACATAACGTATATTTTGTGCCCATTACACATGTATGTCCTCAGTCTCTCACGGGAGGGTCTTTGACGCCGATGATGGACTCTGCATCCAAAGAATTGGTCCTGTCCCCACCTTCCTTGGATCGAATATATATGCTTTCCATTTTTTTCTGATACTGTATGATCCCTACGGGTTTGACGCTCCCCATGGATGTAATAATTATAATAATAATAATAATAAAAATAATAATAATAATAATAATAATGATAATAATAATAATAATAATAATAATAATAATAATAATAATAATAATAATAATGTAAGCCTTCAAGACCATTGTAAAAAAAATGTATGTTATGTACCCGAAACCTAAAAAAAAAAAAAAAAAAAAAATTAACTTAGCATCATAGCAGCATTTTTTGTGATATAAATAAATGGTTTATAAACCTACAAGTTGAAGAATGAGACACTTGTGCAACATTTGGGAAGCTTTATTGAAAAAAAACGTTTAGCCAGCCAGTAGCTTCTTGAGTCCAGTGCAAAAGAACGTTTTTCTCTGTGTTGGACTGAGGAAGCTACTGACAGGAGAAACGTTTCCTCAGTAAAGATTCCTAAATGCTTCACAAGTCCTGTTTTAAAGCATTATTTTTTTGTACTTATAACTTCCGCCTTGTGCTGGTGGGTTCTTGTGTGTAGTGGTCCCAGGACTGGTGTTCCAGCCCGGGAACTGGGTTCTTGTGTGTGTGGTCCCAGGCTGGTTTTTCCAGCCGGGTACGGGTTCTTGTGTGTAGTGTCCCAGGACGGGGTGTTCCAGCCCTGGCACTGGGTTCTTGTGTGTGGTGGTCCCAGGACTGGTGTTCCAGCCCTGGCACTGGGTTCTTGTGTGTGGTGGTCCCAGGACTGGTGTTCCAGCCCTGGTACTGGGTTCTTGTGTGTAGTGGTCCCAGGACTGGTGTTCCAGCCCGGGCACTGGGTTCTTGGTGTGGTGGCCCCCAGGACTGGTGTTCCAGCCCTGGCATGGGTTCTTGGTGTAGTGGTCCCCAGGACTGGTGTTTCCAGCCCTGGCACTGGGTTCTTGTGTGTAGTGGTCCCAGGACTGGTGTTCCAGCCCTGGCACTGGGTTCTTGTGGTGTAGTGGTCCCGGGCTGGTGTTCCAGCCCTGGTACTGGGTTCTTGTGTGTAGGGTCCCAGGACTGGTGTTACAGCCCTGGTACTGGGTTCTTGGGTTTTTGGGGTCCAGGACTGGTGTTCAGCCCTGGACTGGGTTCTTGTGTGTGGTTGTCCCAGGACTGGTGTTCCAGCCTGTACTGGTTTCTTTTTGTGGGTGTCCAGACTGGTGTCCAGCCCGGACTGGGTTCTTGTGTGTAGTGGCCCAGGACTGGTGTTCCAGCCCTGGCACTGGGTTCTTGTGTGTGGTGGTCCCAGGCTGGTGTTCCAGCCCTGGTACTGGGTTCTTGTGTGTGGTGGTCCCAGGACTGGTTTTCCCCAGCCCTGGTACTGGGTTCTTGTTGTAGTGGTCCCAGGCTGTGTTCCAGCCCTGGTACTGGGTTCTTGTGTGTGGTGGTCCCAGGCTGGTGTTCCAGCCCTGGTACTGGGTTCTTGTGTGTGGTGGCCCAGACTGGTTTTTCCAGCCCTGGTACTGGGTTCTTGTGTGTAGTGGTCCCAGGATGGTGTTCCAGCCCTGGCACTGGGTTTTGTGGGGAATGGTCCCAGGATTTGGTGTTCCAGCCCGGGCACTGTGGTTCTTGTGTGT